CTCCGCACTCTCAATTTTGACAATCGACCTCCCAAACTTGTAAAGTTGTTGTAATGTACCTCATTTTATTAAATTTGCTCAAATTGTTTATTAAATTCAAGGGATTAAAAGTTAAGGAATTGAAAGATTTGTGTCATATTTGGATTGAGATGTTAGAATTTTTAGCCGAATATATTTTTTCAACACTAATTTAACACAATCATCGTTAAAATTGGGCATATTGTAAAAATTTTACAAGTTAATAAGTTGAGGGGCAACTTGCCGAAATCAAAAGTTCAAGGGGCAAATTTCTAATGCCATACAAGTTTAGGGGGCAATCTTGTATCCTCAGTTCCTCACTAAGCTTTTATTTTAACAAAGTATTTTATATTTTGCATCTGTAAACACTCTGATAGCGAAGTTGCTTGAGCTTCTCTTTCAATACGACTGCAAAGTGCAAAAAAAAAGTAGAACCCTTCCATCAACCGAAATCAGATGAATCCATGTTTCTTTTTTTCTTTCATGTGCACGTTTTTAGCGCAAAAACACTACTCTAATTATGAAAACTTGAACAACCAGAACTGCAAGTTGGCACTGCAAAAGGAGAAATTAGAATAATCTCCATGTAGTATGAATCAGTGACTAGATTCCGCCCACTTCAATTTTTTTATGATACATATAAGAAATCAACCTGTAACATGAACCATATTTAAATATTACCAGAATGTAAGTATCGAGCTGCACAGATGAAGACGGGTTGTGTGTCACAATGTTAAAGAAAGACTTGGAAGTCAATATCTAAAAGTCTTCATGTATCCTCAGTAATCTCTTCTATTAATCCATTAAAACTTTGTTACAGATACCAATTAAGACTAGTTATGTATATATTTAAATACAGTCTATATAAGTCAACCCGATCTATATTTATAGAAATGATTCTATAGCTGGCATAAAGAATTGGTTGGGGAAATAGGGTATATTTCTCACTCAAAAACAACTTCACTGTGTGAACAGTACTTATAAATAGTACCGTACACGTGAATACTCTCGTATATGTGAATAGTACCGTATAGAAACCCGATAAACCCGACAGAATAACTACTGAATACTGAAAATAAATAAAAGAATATCATAATTGATAGCGGAGTTCGGCTAAATATTGTCTACTTATCCGGGCACTGTAGACCACTCTATTTATTAAAGAGAAGAAAGATTACAAATTGGATTGAAATTACAAAAGCCCCCAAATTAAATATCTAAAGAATTTCCTACAAATTTACAGGGAGGAGAAGCTCTCAGTTTTTGGGATGCAAAACAAATTAGGGGAGACCTGTATTAATAGACATACCCCTCTTCTACGCGTGAATCGGCTGCAAACAGCTGGGTTCACTTTTTAAAATAAGTATAATTTTCGGTACTCTCTCTAACTTTCTCTTTTAATTTTTAATATAAGTATGCAGCCCATATTTTTGACAATGAGCCACCCATATAACTAACAAAATTATTGATGATTAAAACAAATATAATTTATTAAGATTTACCCGTTAAAAAAAGAACATAGAGATTTGATAAGTAAAACAAATATAATTTATTAAGATTTACCCATTAAAAAAATATCATAGATGTAATGACTGAGAAAATTCCAGACCTTAAATAATACAATTCATGTATTTTTAAGCCAAGGATTTTCTTAGAAAATATTATGTTATATTGTAAATGGAGGATTTATGGAATTAATATATGTATTCCTAAATTCTATAGCAAATTTCATGTTAAGTTCATGTTTCGATCAAGTAAATTCGATCGATAAATTCTCGCCGTATTTTAAGGCGGAATAATTTTCAGTACAAGTATAGTTTGAGAATCTTAATTTCAAGAATCTCTAAGCACGGCACGATGTTAGCGGCGTATAAAAAAAAAACGCACTGGCATTTTAAAAGAAGAAAAAAATCCTTAATTGCTAGACAGTTAGGTTAAAGTCGCAAGATAAATACTTATAGTAGATGGGTACAATATGAGCTCGGGAGTTGACACTGTCAGAAACGTCATTCTCGGGATAGAATACAGAAAATTAAAATTTAGAATTTGTTCAGTCTAAAATTAATTTCAAGACTTGAAACAGTTTGAAATATTACGCGAGTAAGAATATAAAACAATATTGAATTATTCAGAAATTAATATTGGACTGTAAGTAGTAGATTAACTTACGTGAGCTAAACTAATTACCTCTGGAGAAGCTCTCAGTTTTTGGGATGCAAAACAAATTAGGGGAGACCTGTATTAATAGACATACCCCTCTTCTACGCGTGAATCGGCTGCAAACAGCTGGGTTCACTTTTTAAAATAAGTATAATTTTCGGTACTCTCTCTAACTTTCTCTTTTAATTTTTAATATAAGTATGCAGCCCATATTTTTGACAATGAGCCACCCATATAACTAACAAAATTATTGATGATTAAAACAAATATAATTTATTAAGATTTACCCGTTAAAAAAAGAACATAGAGATTTGATAAGTAAAACAAATATAATTTATTAAGATTTACCCATTAAAAAAATATCATAGAGATTTGATGAGCATCAAGATTTGTTAGATTTCGAAGAATGCTATATACAGTAATAACTATATAGTAATGGAATCTCTTGTCACTGTTTTCAAATTTGTCAAGTCAGTTGTCATTAAACTTTAAGATTTCAGTCAAACAAGACACAGACTTAGTGCATGCATATTTGCGGTTGGTCTGCCCTCCGCGTGACTGAGTGTTCAAAGTATATACTCTCGGAAAGTGTCTGAACACGTTTTAACTTATCTATTTATTACTCGCAGATTTTCCGATGGACTTCAGAAATGAGATTCCTTCCTCGCCAACATGGGAGAAGTATGAAATTTGGCACGATCCTGAAATTGCTGGAGTTTTATAATTATACAAGGTTAGCAAAAAGAAAATGTCAGCGATATCCGTTGAATGATAATTTCTTTATTGTAAGTGAGTTTAATATTCAGAATCAAATATTAGAATAGATTTGCACATGATTCATGCCAGCATTAAAAAATTAATTGATAAAAGACCAGAAAATAATCGTCTTTACTTCACTAGGTCAACGGCTCGACTAAAGCTTTGTTTTGTGCGTGCTTACTAATCAGGAATTGAAAGAATAGCAAATAAATTCTAAGAAAAAGGAAATTAAGTTCCAGAACTCCATTAAAGTGTTTGCTAGTTTAATTAGGAATTAAGTTATAATGGGAAATAAATTCCTATTATGTTGTTTACTTACATAAAAATTAAAAGGTATATGAATATAATAAATGTGCTTACAAAAATACCCCTATGTTAAGTGGATAACTAACTTAAATAAGGGTAAATTTAGTAAATAGGTTAGTTGATCCTATTTATTAGGGGAAAAAATTAAATTTCCCAAGTAGGAGGTGAGATATATATTCCCCTTATCAAGGAACTTAATTTCTTATTTGTAAATAGGGCCCATGTAATTCCATTACCAAATGCAAAACTAAACATAAAGAATTTAAAATCTGAAATTTAATTCCCTTCCCTGAAATTAGATTCCTATTGAAAACTCAAATTCGCGAAGCGAACGAGTCTTAATATTTATCTCTGTCTCGTTAGCAAACTCTGATCAGGAAGATATTCATTGGCCACTCTTATCAGCGGCAGTTACGTTCTCGTCGTTGAGTGATTATAGAATTTTCATGATTATTAAAATAAATCAGCTTGCAACATGAACCATATTTAATTTTTATTACCAGTATGTAATTATCGAGACGAACAGATGAAAATGAGTTGTGTATCACAAGATTAAAGAAAGACTTGGAATGCAATATATAAAAGTCTTCCTGTTCCTCACTTGTATAATCTCTTCTTATCGCCATATTGAAGAAATACTTGGAACTCAATATTTATCCAAAAGTCTTCCCGTCACTCACTAATCTCTTCTGCTAACCTATTAGTTTATAGTTTGCGGCTATAAACACACACTACTACAGACGCTAATTAAGACTAAAAACAAACATTTATAGAAATGATTCCATGGCTATCATAAAGAACTATTGTTAATTCTTGCCTACCAATAAAACAAATACAGTTATCAAGATCTCTTGGATGAACTTCAAGATCATTAGCGACTTGAACCAACAGACTCATCGAACTTTCCATTTCAAGAAAAACTCTTGAGTAGAATTCACACAACATGAAATGGTTAGTCTTAGATTTGGAAGCAACGCTATATACAGTTATCACTATATATACAGTGATGGATTCTCGAGGTACTGTTCTAGGTACCGTTGTGAAGGCGCCAGTTCTCCATTAAACTTTCAAGTTAGATTTGAGTTTAGTCAAACAGGACGCAGATTTAATTAGACCTACCAAATCTTAACTTGTTTTGAATATGAATCATTAGTCGTAAATTTTTTTATGGACTTCTCGAAATTAGATTCCACCCTCACATGGCAGAAAGTCTGAAATTTGGCATGAGCCTGAAATTGCTTGAGTTTTATAATTGTACTTGATTAAAGAAATTGTGTAACCTAACTCTCATCATATTAAACAGCACATAATTCGTTCTGTCCACAAGATTAGGCAATGAAAATGTCCGCCAAATCCGTTGAATGCCAATTTCTTTATTGAAAGACGAGTTAAGTTTTCAGAATCAAATATAAGAGTAAATAAATTCATGAGCCATGTGAGCATTAAAAAAAAAATGAAAAACCAGAAGATAATTAACTCTTGACTTCACTTTTTTTTTTTTTTTTGTCTACTCTTCACTTGGTCAACGGCTCAACCTTCCACTGGTTCTAGTTACTAGCTCAACCATTGCTTACCTTCAGTAAGTGAAGAAACTTCCAAGCTCTTTGTTTCTAGTTGGTCACTTTTCTTCCAAATCCAACAACTATATATACTCATCACTATTCTTTTCATTGCAGAAGAAACTGAGATTTGATATTATCTCTGTCCCTTGAGCAAACTCTGATAGGGAAGAAACTCAGTGGCCGAACTTTTTAACCATGAAGGATGATCTCGTGGCTTCCATGATCAGATACCTCCCTTTCTTCATCTGCGGCAGTTACGTTCTCATCGTCGTGACGGGCTACAGATTTTGCAAATACTTGGAGGTAAAGTATAAGTGGGTTAAAAGGCACTGGAGCTTTCTGAACGCTCTTTCAAGAGATATCCAGAAAGTGAAAGACTCAGTTAAAGAAACAAAAAAAAGAGCAAGTGAATTTGGTGAATCAGAGCTGAACCTGGAGGGAATAACTCAACCGTTGCAAGAAATCGAGACGCAGTGGGTGAGCAAAGCAGGGAACGTGATTTGGGAAGCCGAGAGATGTATTCAATATTTTGAGAATTTAACTGCCATGAAACGGATTTCGTGAGAAATCTTAAATTCAAGTACATCTTAAAGTCCTTCTAAAATTACTCATTTAAATCGTCATGTTTAAAATTCATTTATTTGTTGCATGTACTGTTGCAACGTTCTAAAACTTAAATACTCAAAACTAGGGTTGTTAGTTACAACCTTGGTTTTCTTAACATACATATGTACGTATACTTTTTAAACATACATACTTGAAACTTTTGAATCATATAGACATATACATGATTTTTCTTAAACTTACTGCGGACAATAACTGCGTGAGCGGTATCCATTCCCATCTCCACCATTCGTCCACCGCTCGCCATTGCCCTTCAAGAATTGCTGATAGGTTTCTTACCTACAGCATGAACATATCTGATTGAGCTTTCGCTCAGCAAGTAGGAACTATATCTCACAAAATAACTGTAAGTACACATGAATAAATATGCATGAGCTGATTATGCTTAATTATGACGTCTTATCATAGTCTTATTATCTTATCTTATATTTCTTACTGATGGGCCCGAGTGCTCGCGTACCACTTGCGCGCAATCATCGGAACGTGAGGGTTTGCAAGGTCCCCCACGACACCGTGATTATAACTGGAATGCCTCCCTTGAGTCGGAGGACATTATTGTTATTTTCTGTTTCTCCCTTGTGAAGCATGAGTTACCTCCCTTGTGGAGGCTAGTACGGCACTCAACTGATAATTATTCTTATAAGTTCCTCTTGACTTATTAAGGTGTATGCAATATGACATAGCAAAGCATACTATAACATAGAATGTACTCAAATACATATACTTCATGTGCACTGCTTAAGTGTATGCAGTATGATCTAGCATAATATACATAATATTAAATTAACTCAAACACATATAATTCATGTGCGCTGTTTATGTGTATGCAGCATGACATAGCATCGCATACAATACTTAAAGCATAAACATGCATATATAACATGTGTAACTTTCTCTTTAAAATCTATTCATACTGTAGGCGAGATTCCTACTTAC